TTGTTGTTGGAAGTTTGCAGTTGTGAATTAATTTCGTTTTTGATTCAACAAATCCTACGAATAATGCTGAATTACATGAAAATAAGATGGGCACCTTATGGAATTGCATATAAATAACAAAGTTAGTGTTTAGATATCAGATTTTTTAAAATTCCCCATGATGGGACGTCGAAGAAAAGTCTGTGTGATAATTTTTCGGACAACATTCGATAAATAAATTTCAAGACTGTCGAATATCGATGGTGCCCATTTGTTACCATAATTTGCAAGGATCGATAACGAAATTGAATTATTCATCTGCATTGATAGAATCAAACTGAAGCCATGAGACATGTAACAGAAACAACGAAAATCTAGCGAACCGAGGCAAAAACCCATTCATAAATGGTTCGACATCCATTGTTAATGTATCCATCTGAGCCAGTATCGCTACACTCGAACGACCACGACCCGGTTGCGTAATACGCCTCCAGGAAACCCATCACTATGTAAGTTATACAAGCACATATGGAGAACAGAAAATCCTGAAATGTTCCTTCTTTCAACCACATTTGCAATGGTCACTTTTTGTGCTTCGCGAATATTTTTTGATCGAAACTCGCAGTGCGTTTGATAATTTGATGTAATCGATATCAATAATGATATGAAAATTTTTGTTTTTATAGTAAAAGCTTTATGCCCATTGAATTTTCTAAATGAACAAATTTATCGAAGAAAAAGAAATATGAAATTATCTATTTGGAACCAAAACTTTTCGTACTTTTTAATTCATGGCAAAAAAACCAAAGTTAGTGGTTGTGTATCACTGTATCACTGTATTCATTTTATGACTGATAACGTTATTGAATTACTGTCCTAGATATTATGCGAGAGTGTAAGTGATTGTCGATGGAATAGGAATACCGGAGAAATTGATACATAAAATGCTTGATGCAAGTCGATGTTTCAAATGGATTTTTTAAACGATCAGGTTTTTAAACTTGTGAAAAGTGTTGTGAAATATCGATGGTGAAAACATTGAAAACGGTGAAAATCATTGAAAACTTGTAAAGACTTGTGAAAAATAAATTCCGAACTATTGATTCACGCTCATTTTTGTGAAATTGTCTATGGGCAAATGGCATTGTGATGCCATGTAACATGTTTGTTTGACATCATATTGGGTGTGTTGATTGTAAAAATTCAATGTCCTAAACACTCATCATATTGCGTAGCGAATCTGATTGTCAGATGTACTTTTTGTTTGTTTTTATTTCCATTCTAAATTTCAAATGACTCAATGACGAGATGAAAACATATGGTTCGAGAAGAACGAACGTGTATGCACGATACGCATTATTTTAGAATACAAAATCGCTTCTCTTAAAATACTGCTCAAAAGAATATTGATAAAAAGCGCTCAAATCGATGAAAAACTACAGCATGTTGTTAATTTGTTAAAAACAAATTCCGAAATATTGATTCATCGCTCATTTTTGTGAATTCTGTTGAATGATTCACTAGAATACAACAATTGTATACTATGAGAATTCAGGATTGGACCCAAATGAGCATTTCTCATAGAGTCTTATCTAAGATGGCCTTATCAATATAGCCAATATCTCTAGTAAGATTAAATTATTCGGTTGATAGCATGTGACTGATATTATTATCGTTATGGAATGTTACTACTACTATTCTTTCGTTAACATTTAGGATTTGATCTGCCGATCTTGAGGATCTTCCTCGACGTGTCAATCAGAGGTCTTAATTGATTTATCGCTATTTTTCTAACTGTTGCACGTTTTTGTAACAGATTCAGAGGAACGATTACGAGCAGTTTTGATGTGGAAGTGATTTGAAGTGATTGAAAAAGTGGACTTACGCTTATCCGCCACGGCCAGAATTCCAAATGACTTTCATGTAGATTGAAGAAGAAAACGATTAGGAATATGAATGAAATACATAGCGCTACACTGGCGAATACTAGCAGGAAAGTTTGACCGAATAGAATCCCTTTGAAGGGTCCTGGACCATACACTGACGATATCAGCGATACGATAATCAATCCAATTATCTGAATTTAATCAATTCAATAACGTTCATTCCAACTGAACAGTTCTTGAGAACTACAAATTAAAGGCAGTAAATAATTTCGTTCATTACATAGGCCATTTTACAACTGGCCTGCAGAAAATTGCATGAAGTAGTAAATAAATCACAGAAATCAGCAACTCTGGAATTCAGTTTTTCACTAAAATCCCAGCAAGCAATCTAAACAGATGCTTGGCATGTTCGGAGTGTCTTGAAATTTTTCGCCCAACCCTTCTAGGAACTCTTCAGTTACAGAATTGCTCACAAACAATAACTGACGTGTCGATATGATCGTACAGTTGCGTTGATATGACAGATCTGAGAAGAGCTAAATAATGAAAATGCTTTCTGCGCACTCACAATTTCCAGTATTCGCAGGATTCCGGCTGGTCGACAGCAATAGGCTCCATTCAGTGTGCCACGTCCACAGTAAAATTCCCGTTCCCGGACGTACCGTGTCTTGGTCTTAGTTGTTGTGGTCACCAACGTTCCATCAGGCTCTGTTGTTGTGTACGTTTCTTCTCGTATTGTGGGCATCTAAACAACTCATTCAGATGAGCAGAACAAGCATTGCGATCAGAAGTGTTTTCGCATTTTAAGGTAAGCAAATTACGATTTTCGTTGAGAATTACACTCCAGATAATCGCTGTTGCTGATCTGACGACGATCACATGCATATCTTGTGATCTGATCTACAAATCGATCTATCAAATTCAAGCACTGATCATGAAAAAATACGGTTATCTGAGAATATTTTCATCAGTTTCGTAAGATGCCCGTGAACTCATAGAGTGTTTTTAATGAAAATTTCTCAACGACGAAGGATATTCCTTGATGAAGAATTGCGTTGTTTCCCTGCTCACTTGGTATTGAAATATGTTATTAATGATAAGTTTTTTCAATTATAAAATTCGCATTCATCCCACTTAAAGGGTCTGTTATTTCGCATCGTATCCAGAACATCTGTTTTGGTGTGTAAACTATTGGCTGAGTGGTATCGCTTAGATTGTTTCTCTTTTTTTTGGGTATTTTTCGAATGTTTCTTCTGTTCAGCAATAAATATTTTCAACTGAAAGTGAGGAAGATTTGAATTCGCAATTTTCAAAAACAGTCATTTTTCTTTATTTTGACTAACAAATATTGTTGGCTATTGGTTAAACAGGTTCTAAACAAGACATTAAAGAAAGATACGTTATGAACATTTAATTGATGCTACTATTAATGTAAATAAATGAATGTTTCAAACTAGAAAGGAAAGTTTTATAGGAGAGGGAATCCTCCCATAAATTTCGATGAATAATACAATCAAATGAGACATCTGGAAGTTTATGCGTTGAATTTGAAAAGAAACTGTAGTGAATTGGAATGTTGATGCGATTGGAGACTTTCGTGTGAATTTATTGTTATTGAAATACAGAGAAATAGCACTGAAAACTGGCACAAACCACGCAGTGAGCAACTGTTGTTGTTAACCTTATGGAATTGTGAGCAAAACATAAGAGGTTATAGCAAACAAGATGAGAGCTTGAATAAGATTTCAGTGAAATGTTATCGGATTCTTTCGGACGGCCATTGAGATAAGACTTCCAGAAACTGATCCGGAACCCATGAATGTATCAGGTCTTTGAGTCGGATTTTGAACAAGCTAGGAA